CGTGAATCGCAACTCTCAGAAACTCGTGGTTTTGTGGTCTCGGCACCTCTGGTCTCAATGTTTGCCCCAAATGATTCCCGATGACCCCAGCAGGTAGATCGGCATGTTCGGACACAGGGAGTTCTTCCCTCTCATGGCCATCGAAATAAGATTATCTAATATTAAAAACCTGCAATTCTTAAGTTTTCATCTTATAAGAAACAAAAGAAGTGATATATCACATACTGGTTGAAAGCCAAACTTGAATTGAACTCTCAGTTTCACCCGTTAACTAGTTTATAACCTAAGGAAAATTCTTTAACCTCCATATAACTCAGCCTCCTAATTTATATATTTTGACTGTTCATATCTATTAAGTATGTATCTGATCAATGTCCAGCCTGCACTCATATCACACAAACAATCCAATTTGCAATTGCATTTAAAAGAATATCTAGGAATTAATTTAACCAAATAAGTGAAAGACCTGTTCATTGAAAACTATAGGACATTAATGGAAATAACTGAAAAAGATACAGTTGCATGGAAAATAGCCCATGCTGTGGACTGAAAGAATGAACATCATTAAAGTGTCCATATTGTTGGTGGAACAGGGCTGGGTTTTTGGTGCTACCTGTCACTAGCAAAATCCAATGAACAGAGACAGGAATTGGATCTATAAGTACTTTTACTTTTCAGATTGTTGATCATTAATCTGAGAAGACAGTAGGCAAACACCTTGAAGAAACCTTTCTGCCATGGCCATTTACCTGAGAAAATGGTTTACATAACACCCTGATGAAACTTTTCTGCCATCTTATCTCAAACTGACTTTTTTTATATTGAATTAAACAAAGACAATTAGTCATAAACAAACAGCCCATCAAAACAACCTGTTATAGTGGATGTTCCTGTTATTCATCACATTCAGCCCCAAGAACTTGTTATCAGCCTCCTGATTATCTTGACCCTGGTGCATCTGATCATGTTAATGTTAGGCATCACTGGGATGGGAATCTCAGTTTAAAGCAAATGTTTTGGCTTAAAAATAGGTCATTAATCAGATAGTCTGTACATGCAGCCTATGCTATGTGTGTGTATATAAGGATTCCTACAATAGGTATGGTACTGTTCCCTTCCTCTCTATCCCTGTGTCATTTCCCCACGGTTAGTTATCTATAAGCCTATTTAAGATTAAAGAAACTTACGGAGGGAAAGAGTGTCTCTCTCCAAAGCAGGAGAGGTATTGCAGTATCATGACTATTATATATATGAAAGTTGCTAACAGAGTTGATATAAAAGTTCTTAGCATACAAACAAAATAGTAACTACTTGAGGTTATGGATGTTTATAATTTTCCAGTAATAATTAGCTATGTATATATCACAAATATATAATTTATTTGCATTATATACATATATCAACTCATGTTGTGTACTTTAAATATAATGTTATGTGTAAATTGTAACTTATAAAATGCTGGGGGGGATTACCAACTGTAGTGAAATATATATAACAAGATTTTAAAACTTAAAAACATGCTCACATTAAAAAATATCATTTTTGGGTGGATGACTGGATTAAAAAGAGGTGGTACATATACACAATGGAATATTACTCAGCAACCAAAAAAAAATAAACACATGTCTTTTGCAGCAACATGGGTGGAGCTGGAAAAGATCATGCTTAGTGAAATAAGCCAGAAAGAAAAGGAAAAATACTGGATGGTTTTACTTATAGCAGCAATATAATGGACCAGGTCAGAGAGTAAATAATAATAATAATGAACAACTATATACCAGAGACACTTTATGGGAGTGGAGTGGGGAATGGGATCAAAAACAGTGGGGGGAAGGAAATGCACTGGACTATGGTGATGGCACATGGGTGATTTGGTGATGGGAAGTCCACGGGAATTGCAGCTAATATGGAAAAATGCAGAAAATGATGTAAAAATAAACTATTGTTTTATTCACTTATAAAAGTATATTACTTCTGGGATATTGATAAAAAACAAAATGCCAGGCCCTCGCTGGTGGCCCAGCGGGTTAAAGCACAGCACTAAGAAGCTAAAGCCACTTCAACATGAGTTTGATCCCAGCTTGCCAGGGAGGCGATCCACATGGCACAGCAGACCTCTCCTGACCCACCCACTGCTCCCCTTAGCAGTTTACTTCATCAGTGGCCTGTTCTGCTCCCCACTCTGTCTCTGGTGAATCCTCTCACCACCCCTGCACCTCTGGCCTCTACCCCAGTTCTATATACATAAATAAATAAATCTTTTAAAAATGTAAGAGAAATTATACTGTAAAAATTAATATTGTAAAAGAAATCTCAACTAAAATTGAAGTTGGAGAGGCCTGTAAAGGGAGCTGTCATGCATCATACTAGTACATCATTTGCATGTAATTGCCTTTAATGCATGTTCCAACAGGGAGAAGAGTAACCTTACACTTTTCTCTTCCAAGATTTATCCTGCCTAGTAATAGTTCCACCAATTAGAAACCCTACATTCCAGCCAGTCTACCTTCTAGACAGCATCTAGAAGAGTTATGCAAAATCACCAGTGTTGAAGGAAACTATTGTCTCTACCATATACTTTTCTAAGAAGAACCACATAATCAGCCATTCAAGTTATACAAGGAATCCTGCTGTGATTAGAGCTGATGTGAATATATCCTACAAAGCCTAAGAACACAAATATACTGAATAGGCTTAGTGACAACTTAGTGAGCTTGAAAAATTAGTTAACTTGAAAAGAACAGTAGAAGCTATGCACAATGAAACACAGCATCTCAGTGTTTGACAACTTTATGGCATAATTTATAATTTTAGACTCCAAAAAAGAATGGTAAGAACAGAAAGTGTTTGAGGAAATGATACCCAAAACTTCACAAATTTGATGAAGTCTATAAACTCACAGATCCAAGAAGCACAATCCCTAAAACAGAAAAAACATAGATATGGCACCAAAGCCAAATTGTTATACCCACACACAATCTAGTAGTAAACAGAAATGGTTTATTTTAATTTTGGAGGTTATGTTTTTGTTCTTCCCTATGTGCAAGTGTTCCACTCACCCTCCACCAAAACACACATATCTATACCTCATCTGCCTCCCTCTTCAATCCTGACCTCCTCCCCTCCGTGCCTACAGCCACCATTATATTCTTTCATTGAGTTCAATACTTGTTCCTACTATATTTTGCCTATGTATTTTTTGGTGAATGAAACCAACTGTATGTCTTTCACTTTCTGATTTATTTCGCTTAACAAAACATGTTGTAATTTATCCATTTTGTTCCAGATGTCACTATTTCATATTCCAATGAGTATATATTCCACAATTTCTTTACCCATTTGTCTGTTGAGGGAAGACAAATGTTGGGTTCCATGTCTCAGCAACTGTGGACAGCCTCGCCATAAATATAGGTGTTGATCAATCTTTTTGTATTTGAATTTTCTTATTATTTGGATAAATATCTAAAAGAGCTGTTGCTGGATTGTATGGAATTTAAGCAGAACATCTTAAATACACCGGGGGAAAAATATAGAGAACAAAGATAAACAGGAGAGCAGGTGTTTTTTGTTTGTTTGTTTGTTTCTGGAAGCAGTGCAAGCTAGAAGATAAACTGTCTTTAGAATTTTCAAAGAATAAAAGGTCAACCTAGGATTTTGTAAGTAAATTTTTGTTTCGATTGTTTTATCTTTGTCCATTGGAAATTCAGGTTTTTTCCCTATATCTTTTTGACAAATGACTTTTTTTCCCAAATAACCTTATTTTATGGTTCAAATTCTCCCTTGTATTTTTTTCAGCCCAATTCTAGAATCAGCTGTATTTGATTCCTTTGATTATGGCATTTTATTTAGAAACAAGATTTAGGTCTTCGGTTTGCTTGTTGCTACCTAAGTGTCAATGCTTCTAGACCCTCTCATGTAAACACTTTTTAAAATTTATTTCTGTATTTGGTTATTATTGTTCAAAGGGCTTTCAGTTTTGTTGGTTTTCTTTTTCTTAATAGAGAACTATCTTTTATTGAATCTTCTCAGTTTCTTACATTCCACCCGTACCTAAAAGGCAAATGTGACTTCACTTCTGAAAAAAAAAAATTGGGCTGCTACATATACTTGGATGATTCAGAGTTAGACTGAATGAGTAAGAAATTTATAAGCAAGGATGGAATATTAAGTAAACCAAAAAGAATTTATTCTATAATGTATTTGAACAATACAAAAATTAGGAATTTAAGAACTTTTTTTTTGGCTTTCTTCTGTTTCCTATGCTGAGTATGGGTGTTACTATGCCCACTGATATAATCTCCTTATCCAAACTAGAAATTATTGCAGATGTAGGTCACCTTTTCTTCTTGCCACCCCCTCATAATCAGTTATCAAATATTACTTATGCTTTTTTTGCCTCCTACCTTTCTCCACCTCCATTGCCAAAGCCTTGCCTTGTTTATTCTATATCACAAATCATTCTGTGCTTGCTCAATCCTACTGCCATTCCCTTAACTCATACCCTTCTCATATCAGGGTTGTTTAGGGTCTTTATCTTTGGGTTCACTTCCACCAAAGTA